AATAGCCATGTGCAAAAAAGCACCCAGGCCCTGAGTTGAAGCCCCACAAAGGGCATAAAAATAGTAATAATAATACATACTTGAAACAAAGTTCTTACTTAGCTCTACGGGATAATTAAACATGGGGAACTGCACAGAAACTACAAAACATTACAAATTCTAATTACCCCCATAAAACATTATCATAGATCCTGGAAATTACCCCTCTGACTGGGTTATTTTATATAAGCTTCTCTCTTTCCTCTTCCATTAGATAGGTTTTACCAATTCTAGTTTGAGATGGATTAAAGAAAAATCTTCCTGGACAAAGGTGGCTCACACCTGTAATCCTACCCACTCAGGAGACTGAGATCTAAGAGAATCACAATTCAAAGCCAGCTGGGCAGGGAAGGAAGTCCTTGAAACTCTTTTCTCCAATTAACCGCCAGAAAACCAAAAAGCGTCACTGTGGCTCAAAGTAGTAGAGTACTAGTCTTGAGCAAAAGAGTTCAAGGACAGTGCCCAGGCCCTGAGTTCAAACCCCATGACCAAAAAAAAATAATAATAACCTTAAGATTCTCTAACAGGGTAGGCACCTATGGCTCATGCCTATAATCTTAGCTTCTCAGGGGGCTGACATCTGAGGATAGAGGTTAGAAACCAGTCTGGACAGGAAAGCCCCGAAGACTCTTCTCTCCAATAAACTAGTAAAAAAAAAAAACAGAAGTGGCACTGTGGCTCAAATGGTAGAGCACCAGCTTGAGCAAGGCCAGGCCCAGAGTTCAAGCCCAAGGACTAGGTAAAAAAAAAAAAAAAAAAAAAGAGTTCTAAAAGTATAATAAAACAAATCATGAGAAATTTGCTCTAAATTTAATCTTTGCAAGTAAAAATATTTGACTTAGAAAGATGAAATTATCAATCTTTATCTAACACACTAATTTATTTACTTAAAATTATGACAAACTATACACTTAATCTATAAATCACACAAAACATCATTCAAATATATTAGGAATTATCCTAATGTAAAAATATTTTGGCTAGGTTTTAATTCAGTTCTCAGGCAATGATTTTACTCTCTTCCCAAAAGAAAAAAAAAACACATTATTACATGAAAAAATTCTGTTTAACTTCTCCACGTTTTACACACAAACTTCATTACAACTTCCTTTTTCCCCCAGTAGCAAGGTAAATGCAAAACAAAGAACCTTGCCCTCTGCAATGCAGAGGGACAGAGAGCAAGGGAGAAGCTAACACATTACAAATCCTAAATGTCAAGAAAAACCACAGATGCCAGCCCCAAGAAAATCTGTATGTATAAAATGGTTAAGAATTGGGTGTATTTCAAAGCCTCAACATAAATCCTAAATAGCTGCATCAAAAATTCTGAGGCACACTGCAGTGCTCCAAAAAGAAATGTCCTCACTCACAAACTATGTTGTTATAAATATTAACTGCAAAGATATAAAAAAGCTAGTCTTTGTGATGCTATATAAAAACATTACTTTTTGGCTATCAGTCTGGGTTATACATTGATTATAAGCCTGTTAAACTATTTTGAGTTTTTCTTTAAAAAAAAAACAAAAAACTAGTCTTTCATCTACCAAAGTCCTGGCCACTAAATCTATTTAGTTATGTTTGTAAAGAGTATAGCCATTTTAAATGCCATCTATTAAAGCCTCCTTTATTTTAAATCTAAACTGATTGCATCTTGCAATATCAAATGAGCTCCTAGTTAAAATTAAGACTCAGTTTTGTAACATATTCTTATATAGCCTAAGGCCCAATTCTGTAGAGAAGACCTGATAACAAAACTAGGTAGAATACATCATTCAATTCCCTCATTACCTATTTAAAAGGATTTGTAAATGAGATTTTACATTTGATTCTCCTTAAAACTCCTCTATTTGCTGAGCATTTATTTAGTACCCAAATTTCAAAAACCACCAAGCCACTTAGTTGCATTATATAAGAGAATCTATTTCATCCAAGTTAAACATGTATTTTCACTGAACTTTTTCCTAGTGGCTCAAACTACTAGAAAATAAGTAACTTTGTTTTTTAAATGAAGCACAATTGTTTCAATTCTGTTACAAAAATGATACTACCTATCTATTTAGTAACTTGTTACAACAATTTCAAATTCCAGGGAGAAAAAATTTTGATCCAGAAAGTTCAAATGTAAACAAGTTAAGGATCAAAATTTCAAATTCCAGGGAGAAAAAATTTTGATCCAGAAAGTTCAAATGTAAACAAGTTAAGGATCAAATACAGTTCAAATATAAGTTGTTGAACTGACTGAAGTAAGAAGAAATGCAGTTTCTAAAATTTACTTTTCAGGCACTGTGGCTCACTTCTGAAATCCTAGTACTTAGGAGACTGAGATCTGAAGATCAGAACTGAAACCCAGACCAAGCAGGTTAAGTCCAAGACACCTTATCTCCAACTAACCCAAGAAGCCGCTGTGACTCGTGACAGAGGGCTAACCATGAGCAAAAAAGCTGAAGGACAGTGCCCAGGCCCTGAGTTCAAGGCCCAGGACTGGCACCACTCCAAAAAAAAAAAATCACTTTTACTCTATTAGGATTTATAAAGCCTAATTCAAAACAGATTTATAAAGCAAATCCTATCTTAGGTACATTATAAAGGCTTACTCCTATTGAAAAATAAATGTTGCTAAATCTTTTCATAAAGAAAACAACCTATTGAATTACAAACCAAATTTACCTAAGTTTTGGAAAATAGAATGCTTTGGAGTTTCTCAATAAAATGTTTTAACAGCAATTAAGCCTCATCAGTACTGTCAATTCTACTGTTTAATAAGTAGGTAGAACAGCTACATACAAGTAGGTAGCTTATCAAAAACCTTCAGCTAACCGTAACTTGACCTTTTCTGTTATTTAGTACCCAAACACTGACAGAAAAGGACACCTAAGTATATGTTAATTTCATGCAGTTAAGTGTGCAACATTACAAGACAATCTTTCAGGATGTACTAACCAAGTCAATAAAAATGATTGTATTACACTCTCTATAATTTAGGAAGAGATGTTAATGTACTGTTATACACTCCTATACACAAGTGACCAGCCATGATTCAGAGCCTACTGGGGCTTATAAACTAGGGTTTGGGGTTTTTTTTAAATACACTTTTTAACACTAGAATCTGTCACTTCACAACTACACTGGCTTCACAACTACATCAACACCTGGCTTTATGTAGTTGCCTTTGGAGAATTTTCTATCCCTAATATACCCATACTTAAAACTATTATGTTGATTCCTATTCGACAAGAACAGATTTCCTAGAAATTCAAAAGGCAATCCATTCAAACATCAGCCAGATTCACAGTATTGTTTACTCTATTAGGAAATGTTTAAAAGATACTCAAATTGTCAGAGTGACCAAAAAACTAAAATCACTTGACAAATCAAGAGGCAGTGGTCTTAAGATACTCTTACTCTAGGCCATATTTAAAGTCAGCTACACTTTAGATATTTTCACTGCTTTGTTACAACAAATCTATTATTCCACTTACTAAAAAAGCACACTCGTACATCAAAATAAAAGAACTCTTAAGCTAACAGTCTCAAGTGATTGTATCTCTCAAATTAATAGAAATTCCAGGAAATTTAAGCAAAACTTCCAACCTTAAATATGGAGACAGAAAAGTGTCAAGGTAACTGTTCGATTTTAAAACTAAGTAACCAGTAAATAAGCAATTACCACTAAGGCCTACCACTAAGAACACCAGTTCTTTCCAATACATTGTCCATAACCCAAATTTTTAGGCAAAAAAATTACTATCTCAATTACTTAATACTATGAGGAAGGTGGCTAAATGGCCATTTAGAATGGTTTCTTCACAATTCAAGATTTAAAAAAAAAACAAAAACACAGTGTACTCGAAAGAAGCAAGCAGAAGTTGTCAAAGGAAGCCGTATTTTACTTTTGGAGGTAAAGGACAAAGTGACACTAAGTCACAAATTTAATAACTGCCTAATGTTGAGCCCATTTGTTTTTCTCTAGCCACTACTATCGTACCCAGGGTTGAATTACTCTCCCTGTCTTTTCTCTCCATGCATGTCCCTCAAAACAGAGTTGCCACACTGTCCGGCTCTGAAAACACAAAACAAAAGGCAGATATCTCCATGTGTGACCACCGAATGGCTCAATATTAAATGAAAAAATGTGGGTGTGGTTCGACTTTTTAGGAGGGGAGAGGGAGGCCGGCTGGGGTGGCTGCTGGTCTCTGCCCTCCCCCTCTGCCTTCGCTTTGTGCTCACAATGCAGCTCCTGTACAACGCTTCCCTCTCGACTCGCAGCCGCCGCCATGTTAGACTCAGTCTCCATGTGCGGAGACCTAGCGACCGTCTCCGGTCTACCCTGAACCCATCACCCGGCGAACAACAATCCTTGGAGACCCCCAGCCACTTTTACAGTCCCCCAGGGGGGAAAGGTCGCTGATGAAGATCATCTCCTTACTGGGCTGGGCCTGGGCAGCCCCCTCCGGGGGGGGGGGGGGGCACCCAGACAATTGAAACAAAGAAGGAAACATAGGAGCCTACTCGAGGGCGGGGAGGGAAGGACAGCAGAGAGGAGACCACTCCAAACGGGCCCCCCGGGTGAGCGATCCTCCCGCTCGAGGACGAAGAGCCGCACGCAGGGTAACGGGGTGCACAAGCCCCGCGGCGTGAGGACTCAGGCCGTCCCAGCTCCACGAGGCGGTCGGCTGCCCCCAAGTGTCGCACACCGCGGATCGTCCCATTTTTTTCCCTATCTGGCCCGATCGGAGCCGACGGGGCCCCACCTCGGAATCCCATTCCCTAGATCAAGGCCAGACCCACCCGGGGCTCCAGTTAACCGAGGCCTGGGGGCAGCGCGTCCGGGTCAGGTGACAGGCACCACCCCGAGGCGCCCGCTTTCTGGATCCGAAGCTCCGTCGGCCGCGGACAGGCTGGTGGGGGGGCGGGGATTCCGGGACCCAGCGAAGCCCTCCCGCTCCCGCCATGCCGGGCACCTTTTTCTTCTCCAGGTTGCGAAGTTTCTTGTCGATCACCCCCAGGATCTGCTTCATGGCCTCGGTTTGGACGGCGCCGGTCCCGGTGGCGGGGTGCTGAGAAGCTGGCGCAGCGGCCCCGGCCCCCGCCTCGTTCCCGGAGGAACCCGACGATGGCGGTGGTGGTCCCGACGATTTGCTGCCGCTTCCGCTGTGGCTGGTGGCCGAAGGCATCTTCAGATCGGAGTGGAGGGAGAGAGAAGAAAAGCGGGAGGAAGAACAAGAGGCGGCGAGTCAGGGGACGGACGGACGGGGCGAGACGCGGGACAAAACGCGCAGCGGGCAGCGGGCGGCGGGAGCCTGCGCGAGCCGTGGGGGAAGGGGCGGCGCGCGCCGCCGGCAGGAAGAGAGCGCGGGCACGCGCGCGCGACCCGCCAGCGGGGCGCCGGGCTGCGCCGCCCCGCCCCTCCCTCCCTCCCCTCCCCCGCGCTGCGCTGCCGCGGACCCGAGCCTACCCACCCCGGCCGTGGCTCACCCCCGGGGGACCCGGGCTCGCGTCGGGGGCGGGGCATCGAGGCCGGGCAGCCAACGGCCAAGGCAACGGTCTCCACGGGGGGAGTGGGGGGGAGGGGGGCATGGGACCGGTGGCTCTCCGAGGCAGGGAGAAGGGAGGGAGGTCCGAGCCGGGGGGGGGGGGGGGGGTGCGGAGCACTTGGGACAAGGCGCTCCCGAGAGAAAGGACACTTGGTGCACGGCGGCCCTCTTCCCTTTGCAGCTCCTCGATCCGGGATGGCGCTCACCGTGCGCGCGCGAAGCCGCTGGAAGGTCCCGGGGGAGCAGCTGGAGGGACGAGAATGGTGCCGCGTTCCGGGCAGTGTGGTGCGCTCCGCGGGCGCCAGCCGCTTCGCCCCGTCCCGCTGCACTGAGCCGCTCCTAATGAGATGGGAGCTGGCGCGGGTGGGACTCAGCCACTCAGCCCTCTAGGGCGCAGGGGGCGGGAACAGCGGAGAGCCGGGAGGGGGGGCCCTTCGGGCAGCTCGGGCTGCCCGAAGCGAACGCCTGTCTGGAAGGGCCTCTCACAGGCCTCCTCGCCGGTCCTAAGCCTCCCGCGCCGAGAGACAGCTGCTCATCACCCAGTCTCAACTGGCTTCCCGAAGACTTCGGGAGCGGTGTCTTGAGTTTTGAGCGAAATCGAAGCAGGGGTCCTTCAGGCGAAGTTGCTTGACATCCAAACGGGGACAATAGGAGTCAAGCGGCAAGCTCTTAGAGCTGGCGACTGCTCAGTGTAAAGTCCTTATTTGGTGGGGGGGGGGAGGTCAAAGGTTTCTGCCTGTAAGAGATGCACGGAATGGGTGGTACAATTCCGGCTTCTACAATTTCTTTTGCCTGCATTGCTAGCACACACACACCCCCACCCAAAATAAAAGGTCCGGATAAAACGACGACTCATCCACAAAACTGCCACCCAGTCACCCAGGCATTCTCTGTAGAATGCGTCCGGATTGAGTATGGTTGGTGTCTTTTGAAGTCTTAAAAAAATTCAACATTAAACAATGACCTTCAGCTACCCTGAGATGACATATGTCCAATAGGCCTGAGTTTTGAGTTATTAGTCATTTTTCCTTTGTTTATTACCTAAAACTTGAAACTGAATGTTGAATGAAAAACAATTATTCTTTGTTGTTGTTATTGTTTATGCGGTACAGAGGAATTGAACCCAGGGCTTCATACATGCTACACAAGTACTCTGCCGCTAAGTCACATTCCCAGCCGCAAAGACAATTTAAGAATTTTTATGCCAGGCTTTCAGTGGAGTGGTTATGGGCAGCAAGCAGAAAACGAGAAAGCAAGTGCTGGATAGAAATTGATGCAAAAGAATATAATCTGGAAAATTCAGCAACATAATATTACGTGACAACAATAAATAAGTTTGTACTTTTATTCACTGGAGGAAAAAAAAGGATATAAAAGGGAGTTCTACCAAACCCACTGTTCCCTGGAGAATAAAATGAGTAATACTGTGTGGCAACAGTGCATCCTGAGGGAGCCTAGAGAAACAACAGCAAACAGCCTCTTGGCCTTGAGATAAACCAGATAGCTGTAAAGTGTCTTACCCATTCAAGTATTTATTGAACACCTTATTGCATATACTAAAAATACTTCACTGCTATGGAAGCTGAACAAAAATCTCTTTTCATAAAGTCAAGTAGGGAGGAAAAAAGTAAGACTTGTCAACTAATGAATGGAGACCACAGGAAGGTCAAGAAAAGCCTTGCTGACTTGAGCCAGGAATAGAGTCTCTACTAAAAGGAATACCAAAAACCAGGATCTGAGAGGAAGTGTGCTGAGTATCTGAGAGGAAGTTCAAGGACTAGCAAGGAGGCCACAGTGGCTAAATCTAAGAGTAGGAGATCAAAGACATAAAAAGGGGCCAATCTTATATAGAGAGCCTGAAAGCCCACTGTTAGTACTGGTATTTTGCTGAGTGAAAATAGAGACTCTCAGTTTTGTGATCAACCTGCTTTAAATCACTCTTGCCCCAGGGTATGAAGAATTTACAGTGAGTGTGGATTGGAGGTGGGAGAGAGGAGTGAGAGCAGAAGTTAGGAGACCAGGTAGGAGTCTGTTGAAATAGTACAACCCATTATGGTGGTAGCCAGAAGCAAGGACTAACAGTGGAGTTAGTAACAAGAGTTGGACTCATTATGTATTGTAATAGTAGAACCAATCAATTTTCTATTTTTGGGGGGGGGGGGGTCTGGTCATGAGGCCTGAACTATGGACCTGGGCGCTGTCCCTCAGCTCTTCAGCTCAAGGCTTGCACTCTACCACTTGAGCCACAGCGCCACTTCCGGCTTTTTTCTTTTTGCTTATGTGGTGCTGAGAAATTGAACCCAGGGCCTCAGGCATGCAAGGCAAAGTGCTCTACCACTGAGCCACCTTCCCAGCCCTTCTAACTAGTTTTGTGTGTCAGGTGAGAGAAAAGTAAAAGTTGACCTAAGGTTTAAGATTTAGGCACTTAAACTATACTTAACACCAAAATAAACAATTTGCTAGCCCTGGAGGCAGAAACAAAGGTTATAATCCTCAATTCCTCACAACTCCAAGCCCAACCAATATCACCAACACTAACATCACTGTCTCAAACACCAACCCAGACCTACTACCAACCCAGACCTACTCAATCTTAACATCTCCAGAAAGTATGTGTGTGTGTGTCTATATGTTAAAATTTGAAAAAAATCAGTTCTCAAAACATGACCAATGACAAAATCAGACATTGAATACTCAGACTCTCCCGGGTCTACAAAGTCAGAAACTCCTGGGATGCAGTTCAGCAATCCTTTTCTGTCTCTCTTTGCTGCATTATCCAGGAGCACTTACCAAAAATAATTATTATAGCTAAAATTAGTGGCTTATTAGAAGAAGAAAAGAATTATGAAAAGGGACCACCAATGAAAGGATCAATGAAAGGATCTGTCACATCCATGCCAGGGGACCACGCAGAGGCAGACAGGCACAGGAGAAAGATCAGTACAAGGTTTATTAGAGGAGCCATATTTCCTGGAGAGAGAGCACATGGCAGCCTCCACTAGGAAGCAGCAGGATCTGGGGGCTAGGAAGTGAGGTAGATGGGAGTTCAGGTGGCTCTGGGCAGAGAGAGGGAGGGGCCAGCTGTATGGCAGGAACTCCAGGGTAGGGAGGAGCTCAGGTCTGTGGAGCTGAGGACCAAAGGTGGATATAATGCTTACATAGTATAACACAAATGATACAAATTTTCAGTTGTTGATCCATCTTAGAGCCCGTAGGGTATCAACACAAAGTATGTTATGCTGGGCTGGGAAGGTGTCTCAGTGGTAGAGTGCTTGCTTCAGAGGCATGAGGCCCTGGGTTCGATTCCTCAGCACCACATAAGCAGAAAAAGGAAGTGACACTGTGGCTCAAGTGGTAGAGCGCTAGCCTTGAGTTGAAGAGCTGAGGGACAGTGCCCACGCCCAGAGTTCAGGCCCCCATGACTGACCAAAAAAAAAAAAAAAAATCTTTCATCTGAATTACATGAAATTCATTCTTCAGGTTGATAGTAAGGAAGCTAGGATATCACATTGCTCACACAACTGAGGCTGAAGACACCAATGCCTGGCTATAATTTTAACATTTTACAAGTGGAACTGTTGAGATGACATTGCCAAACAATAAAATTTTAAAATGCCCTTAGAAATAAAGTGAGAAGCCAGGTGTGGTGGTTCACTCCTATCATCCTAGCTACTCAGGAGGATGATATCTGAGGTTTGTGGTTCAAAGCCAGCCTGGGCAGGAAAGCCTGTGAGATTCTTATCTCAAATTAAAATCACCAGAAAACTGGAAGTAACACTGGCTCAAAGTGGTAGAATGCTAGCTTTGAGTGAAAAAGTTCAGGGCAGTGCCCAGGCCCTAAATTTAAGCCCTATGATGGGTGAGGTGGGAGTAGGGGATATCTCATGGACTTTCCTGCCTGGGCTGGCTTTGAACCAAGATCCTCAGATCTCAGTCTACTGAGTAGCTAGGATTATTTATTTTTGGTGACACAGGCATTTGAACTCAGGGCTGCAGGGATCACACTTACTAGGCACTCCACCACTTGAGCCATATAGCTAGCTCAAAGATTGTAAAGTTTGTTTTTGTTTTGTTTTGTTTTGGGGGGGGTCCGGTCATGGGGTCTGAACTCTGGGCCTGGGCGCTGTCCCTCAACTCTTCAGCTCAAGGCTAGTGCTCTACCACTTGAGCCACAGCGCCACTTCCTGCTTTTTTCTTTTTGCTTATGTGGTGCTGAGGAATCAAACCCAGGGCCTTAGGCATGCAAGGCAAAGTGCTCTACCACTGAGCCACCTTCCCAGCCCCTGGGAAGTTTTATTCTCTCCAAAACCCAGGTGCAATTAGTTGTCACCTGGAAGAAGATTATTTTTCTCAAATTATTTTCCACAAAGCCTTGTATGTATCAGTGGCAGAAATCATACATAGCGCCCACATTTCTGGCAAAGACCGTAAGTACTGAGACCTAAGATGACCATTGATTAGTTTTATGCTTTTTCACTTTCTTTCCTTCCTTCCTTCCTTCCTTCCTTCCTTCCTTCCTTCCTTCCTTCTTCTCTTTCTTCCTCTTTCTTTCTTCTTTCCTTTTGTCTCCAGTTAAGCATCAAAAAAGTGAGAAGGGGATCTGTGGTTCAAGTGACAGAGCACTAGTCTTGAACAAAAAAGCTCAGAAACAGTGCCCAAGCCTTTAGCTTATTCAAATTTGTTCCTGAACTAATCAGGATATTATTTCAAGAATAACTTTCACACCTAACAGCACAATTCCATCTGTGTTAATGGTTTTTCTGAGTGTTAATAACTTTTCCTTATCTTGAGAAGCTCAGAATTTAAAGGTCTAAACACTAACATATCTTACGTATCTTTAAAGGCTAAATATATGAAAATGTTACGGAATGATACAGGCACTCAGTTTTTTTTTTTTTAATTCTTGTTTCGTTTGCATAGGTTTCCGTGAACGTGGAATTTGCAAAGAGGAGAAGCGGAACAGCCTTACTCCACCAATTCTCCTTGGTACAGGGTTTCTCTCAGTGGTCAAGGATGACTGACTTCAAAATCATGGGTTGGGGGAGTCATGCTCAAATGTATGCATTCCAGAATCTGACCAAGAGCTATGCATTTTAAAAAACAAATTCTCCTTTGCACATTCAAGTGTATATAAGTCTCTGCTCCATAGTAGATGATACATGCTACTCCTTCTCATGAAAGTAAGTTCCAAAACAAGCGAAACCAAAGGCTTTCTTCTCTTGCAATCCTCCTCATCTCTCTTGCAGAAAGTGCTATGAGAATCTCTTAAGCAGACATGCTGACAATCACCAGACAGAAAAGGACAGCAAACTGGTTGTGCTGATTCAGGAAGAAGTGAACAGATTGCAAGATGTGAGAGA